GGCTATCTCGGATGTTCCCTATTAAGATTTTGAAAAGATTGTTTGATCTTTCACTTTCAAAATCAGTTATCTTATTGAAAGTAATATTGTTGGTTGATTCAGAGAATTTTGGGATTCAAGTCACTTGTAAAATTACGTACTTGCCGACCAAATATTGACAACAAGGCTAAAATGTCCATTTTCACACCTTTTGCTGATTTTAGCGCCCTCTATTAATGTCACGGCCCATTGGTTTTATAGGACGACCACCCTGAAATAAACCGCCATACATTGGACTATCATAACCCAGTGTCAAACTGAGTATAGATTGCCGAGGAAGTAAAAGTTACTTTATAAGCCTCTTTTCAAGATCAGCGTCTAGTCCATTATTGGTTTATACAAAAAGAAAGACCAATAATCAACAGTTTTTTTATGTATCAAACTTACTATTCAGATGAAGTATAATCAGTGCGTGACGTAAATACGGATATGCCTTAAACGATTTTGAGCAAATTGGAAATGTTTTTTCATGATTTTTAGCTGCTATAGTTTAACTGGTTTTATTTAGATTTTTTTGGATTAAAATATAAAGAAATATATTTTTGTACGCTTTTGGTACACGAAGAAGGACAAATACCACAGAAATCGTGTAAAACATGCTAAAACCAGTGATTTTCGGATATGATAGACTTTATAGGGTTTGTACAGGGAGGTTAGACGGGGTTAATTGTTTTAAAAAATACTGCTTTGTCTTTTAGGCCCATTACACATTTTCATGAGTAGAAAAAAAGTTTGTATTATCACATCCACCCCCACATCATAAGTTCAAGTAGTACATTATTACGTATAGCGGCTATAACGCGTGATCTGAATAATTTTTCTATCAGGTCCGTAGCCAGGGGGCTTGGGATGTTCTAAACAGGCCCCTTCTTTTTGCCTTTTTACCCTCTCGGTACATTTTTATCGTGGTATACACGGGTTTCATGGTAAAAAGTCAACTTTGTTCAGAAAAGAACCCCCACCCTTGTGAAATTACTGGCTACGGACCTGTAAATGGTGGAATTAAATCGGGTAATTAAGTATTCACCTGAGTACTAATATAGAAGCATGAAAACTGACAGAAGGCCACGGGGCATGGGGATTTAACTGCTGTGCATGTTAAATCACCCAGCCAACTGAAATGCGAACATATTAACCAGTTTTAAGCGGGCCTTAGCATACGTTAATTAACAACATCTAGATGCTATTCGGAAAAAAATAGCTACACTTTACATAACTCAACTGTGAAACATGCGTTATTTAAATTATTTTCCTCACTATGCAAAATGTACTACTTGCACTTCTGATGGGGGAGGGAGGATAAGACCAAATGTTTGTTCTTTCCCCCTAATGGGTCTAAAATAACATATTTTCATGCTTTGTTTCTACGTTCTGAGTGTGGCCTACAATTAGAAAAAGGTCTTTGTTTTTTAAGATTATTGAGGGAAATTAATTAATATATTTGTGCATAATTGCTACTCAAACAGCTTCAAGACTGTCGGTGCGGGTTATTACAAACAACATTCACTTGTTCAACTCTTTTACTCACTACATAATAATTTGTGATGTTATTTCAATTTTTCACTTCAGCGTTACAAAATGGTTCGAGGAGGTCTACTTCTTTTCTGTGCAGTTCTACTGGTCGTTGCACCCTCGATATGCCAAGGTGTCTGTTCCATCAATTCTTACTGCTCAGATTGTGTGAGTTATACTGAAAAAGGACATACAAAATGGAGATTCTACTGCAACCCTTATAGTGGGTACTCGATAGATCCTTTGCACTTTACGGCTACCAACGATACGGTTGATTTATTTCAAGTCAGATCTTTTTCATCGAGTTCTACACCTACCATCAACAGTGGCGCTTTCCAAAATATCCCTAATATCGTTCGTGCAGACATCAGAAACACGCGAAGCACCAATCCTGCAATAAGTTCATCGGCTTTCTATTACGGTGTGCAGGAAAGTCTGAAAATTTTGTTGTTTGGGAGCGCCTACCTAAACGCTGTCCCATCATGCTTGATGTACCTAACGGTTCTACAGGAGCTGGACCTTGGAGGCAACAGTATAACTGGTGACCCATCAAACTACCTTAGCTACCTGACATCGCTCCGGTCGTTGCGGCTTGACAATAACCCTTTACAGAGTAGTATCCCAGCATCTTTGCAGCAACTGACTAATCTAAGGAAATTGTCTCTCGCAAGCTGCGACCTCGATCAGAGTTCAGGGATATCATTTGGCAGGCTGCCCACATCTTTAGAATGGCTTAACGTTTATAATAACAAACTGTATGAAGTGCCTCTGGGTATTGGCTTGCTTCAAAATTTGACCTATCTCAACATGAGATACTGTAATCTGAACTCTCTGTCGGTCAACGTCTTCGCCAATTTAAAGAAACTGGAGGCCCTAGATCTTAGTCAAAACCCCAGTATTACTTCATATCTTGATGTTCTTGTCAATCAAAAGTCGTTAAAGGTTCTAAAACTATCCAACATGGGTTCTTCATTAACAGACATACCTAATGCAATATCAGGAATGGAAAAGCTAGAAGAACTTTACTTAAGCAGTAACAGAATACGAGGAATAAATCACGGTCAATTTGCAAAACTGATACGGTTAAGAAAACTCAACCTATACGACAATAAAATAGCTTCTCTTGACCCGCTTTCGTTCCAGAATTGTGACCATCTGGAGGAACTGGACCTAAGTAATAATCTTATACATGAAGTGAGCCCGGCCCTTTTTGTTCCTCAGTCCCTAAAGAATCTTAACCTGGCAGGAAATAAATTTGACACTTTTGACAAGTGTACCGTTGCAAACTTACTGGCACATCTTCAAAAAACCTACACATCCATTTCAAGCGACCTTTTCATTTGCGATTGTCGTTTGGCCTGGGTTCGAAAACTTTCGGCGGCTTTTGGCTCAAGGGTACGTTTAAGTGGATCGTGTTATCTCCCAAGGGAGCTATACGGTCAATATGACGTGTCTTCATATAGTCTGAGTGATTGCAGTTCGGAAGACGAAAGTTTTGAAAGCTGCAACAATATCTCAACAACTCCACCAAATACAACGACGGAACACACGTCCGAGGTTTTGAACGGCTCATTCGTCAATTCAGCCCAACTATCCGGTCTCAAAAAAGACCTTCAAAGCCTTCAAGCTGCCACAAATGCTGCAGTATCTGTCGCTGTTGTTGCCCTCCTGGCACTCCTCGCTACTATCGCCGTGTTGCTGACATGCTTCTTCAGGCAACGAAACCAACGGCCCTTAAAGTGGAGGGGCCAGGGTCACGTCAATCAAGGTCTCCAGCTATCGGAAGGTGTGCAGAGCGAAAGGTCACCTGAAGGTAAAAGTTCTGAAGATACTGTGTACCAGAACACGACCGAGACGGCCAGCAGAGGCCCAAGTGCTGACTATGAACCTTTGAGCAACACAGACAGGGTTGGAAACAACAAGGAGGCCAATACACCTCCGTAGTTCATTAGTGATGTGTACAATAATCCAACTTTTCACTATTTTATATCCGTTTTTAAATATGTACAATGTAAATTTTTTATATGTACGAGTTACCGAAATGTTACTGCTACTTCACTTTTTGTTTTCTTTGTTTTATTATATTTTGTTTTTATGAGATCATGTAACACTGTGTACATAAAGATTTATTAGATGCGTATAAACATATAAGAACAACTGCCCTTATATTAACTGTGTATCAATATTGTCAGATCATGGATGCAGCATTGCTCACTAGTGTTTTATTGTAGACGCTGCACCTGCCCACTACATGCGCATTAACGCTATGTAGCATACACTTAATACATAATAGACACATAATAGAACGACATAGCTTTCCCTGTAGTTTCGCATTTTATATGTACTGGAGAAAATTTGCTTTGTGACGTAAACATCAAAGACTAAAACTGCGTTTTTTTTTCTGCTGAAATCTGTTACACAGCTTATGTAAATCTAACTAAGAAACCTATTACTCAAGGAATGACCTTCACCTCCGTACCTTGAAATTATGAATAATAGTTATGAGTACAGACATCAGTAAACTCAGATATGTCCATGTTATTGGAAGTATTGTCATTGTGACCTAGTAAAACACAATTGCATCTTTTATAAATACAAAATAATCCACATATATAAGCAAGGGTGTACTTGCCAGGACTTCAGCACAGGTAAATAAAGGAGGTGAAATAAGGAACGAGGATGAGAGCCGACAGTTTAACACTCTGCTAGTGCCTTTCACAGTTTTACTTTGAAATTGCACTGGTCGTTTAGGAATTGGACACAAACCTTGGTAAAAGTATTTTGTTGTTTTTTGTACACAAAAAATGCCTCATTGTGAATATAAACTGGAAATGTTGTTATAGTTTGGGACTTAGAGCCAAATATTTTAAATGCAGTGGAAAGACCAACTATAATTACTTCGACGTACTATAAGTCTTTTCTGGTTAATTTCGATGTGTAATCCAAAAATAACTTTGTGTTCATGTGTACCTTTCGGGCACAAATAGACGTGAAATGGTGTATATACTGTATATTGTTATTATTATAAGCATAGAAACATTTAATCATGGCGAATAGCTGACAACGACCCATTCTTTTTATTCCAATTTTTTGAAAATTTTGCAAGATAACTCAATGAAATCTAAATCTTTATATTTTGTGTTGCTTATTGCATCAGTATCTGGAAGTACCAGCTCTGCAAATAATGTGGGTAGTAAACTTAAAACATTTGTCGGAAACAATACTACCGAAAATGTCGTTTTTACAAAAAAAAAAAAAAAAGGGGGGGGGGGTGGGC